TTAAATAAGACAGAATTAAAATTTTATTTTGAAAAAATAATTTATTAATATTTATCTGATGTACCAATCTTTTTGCATCAGACTATACCCGGTTATACCGATTTTTATTATTAAACATCGTTATTATGTCTATGATATACCAATTATTGTAGCAATATATTTCTATAATAATAATGATACTTTGTGCGACATCCACCCATGACCAATCAAAAACTGTATGAAAGAGTAGAATTTGTTCGTTTTGTACAAACTCGAGGGATGACGGATGAAGAAATTATCGATTCTGTTCAATTGATATCCAAAACCGTAGAGAGACAAAACGAAGACAAAACTGTTTCCATAACGAAAGCGTTAGATAGCTTGAATAATTTGTTTAATTTTCTCATCCCCCCCGGCAGGTTTTAATTGTAATGCAAATACTATATCGACAGTACACCCTTCACGAAAAGAAGTGCTAAAGCATTATGTCAACATTAGATGATTTTGTTACCGGAATGTAGTTTGTGTTATCATTTCAATAAAGAACAAGATAGATATTATCTTGTATAACAATATTTTTTTGTAACTATTCTGTTATCGCTACAAAAAGAATTCTTGGTATTAACGATAACTCGCTAATAGGAAGCTCAGAAAAATGGGATAGAAAAAAGGCGAGGGGGATGACAGGACGATGGGAAGAGTATACAGGAGAGAAAGATAATAGATGGAGAAAGAAAATGCATGATCTCGACTTGATGCAAGTGAGATTGGAAGAATTAGAAGAAAAGATGAAGGAGCTAGATTCGATCTCAAGGTAAGAGACTTTGTTAGCCTATAGATGGGGGGAGATCATAGATAGTCATCGTGTGATTAGAGTGCTTGGAATGGATCTTTATCGAAGGGCACAAGGAACCTACCGCATATATCAAGGATGTGAAGAATTCATTGAAAATGACGAAATATATGGCTCGAAGAATTTCTCGCATGATCTATGTGGGTGGAAGTGAAAAGGGTGATATAGATAGGCGAAAATATTGTATGTACAGTTGATAGATTAGAGTGTAAGAAACGCGAGATTAGCAATAGAAACAAAATAGTTATAGAGCAAAGAAATAACTTGATGCTGGGACTTGCATTAAATGGCCTAGGATCCGCGTACTCCCTCCCTATTGATAGCATCACATTTCTCTTGCTTCTCTAGCATATTCTATGTAAAAATAATAAGTTTCGTCTCTGATCTATCTTTAACATTTATGCAAATAAATTGATATCATTAACCTTAGCAAAGCTGTTCGTCTTCTGTGATACTAATATTGTCAACGAAATCCTGAACGAAAATTATCTATTAGCTTGTAAGCCCAGAACTGCAAATGCACAGCTAAAAAAATATTCATAACTCTTAAAATTGCGTCCGGAATGGATAATAATCGCCAGAAAAAAGGATGTGCTACACACACCGACAGAGGCATGACCACCAAGAGATAACTTGGATATCCACTGACTCGTGACTTCACCGCCAATGCCTGGCCGCATAAAGTCACGGCGTCTCCTAGATACAAGGGAAGCGCTTCACCGCCAATGCCTGGCCGCATGAAGAACTACAGCAAAGACAGTGGATCAACTGTCACCGCCAATGCCTGGCCGCATGAGCAGTTGTCAGTCAACAAGCAACTCGTAGCTTACCGCCAATGCCTGGCCGCGTAAAGCTACGGCGTCTCCTACGTATCCAAGGATAGGATACAAGGGAAGCATCTCACCGCCAATGCCTGGCCGCATGAGAGCTTCAGCATAGTTGCATCCTCTGTCACCACATCGAAATTTCTTCGTGAATTCTGTCTACATAAACAATAAAAAAACTGCATGTTGTTGCATTTTGTCAAAAAAAAAACAGAATAATGATTGGTTTGTGGTTACACATGATCTATGTCGATCCTTCGTCCTCGCGGTACGCGCCTACATCGATAATTGTAATCTCGGTTCTTGTAGACTTTTCTTTTTTGCTTAAAAAACCTTTTACTCTCTTTGTTTAGCGTATAGCTTAATGACTGCAACGTTGAGATCGACAAAGCATTTACAATTCGTGTCGCCCAATTTTGAAGACGTACATTTTTATTTTAAAAATGTCGAAGCTCAAAATTGGCGACTCAAACATTATTTACATTATCGTTTGAAAGAAGATAAATCAATCCTATCTTGGATGAAAGTCTATGATGACTGGAAGAAGTCACTCAATATTATTATAAAGAACGGTACTAAAAAAATTCCGGGTAGTGTGCGTACTTTCTGTACTGAGCTACTGGATATTGACGAAACCTTCGAAGGGTCAGTCGTCTTGCAAAGCTGTAAAGGTATATATGAAGATTTCTATGATCAGAAACTTGAGATACAAATCTCCGATAGAGTTCAAGAACTAGAGAAAAGCTTATTCTCTTCTCAAAAGATATCAAATCATTTTCGAAAAATAACAAGAGGGAAAAAGCGATCGCATGATGACAACGATAAGGAGGTATTAAGTCTTTCATGGCCAGCACAGAACTCAGATCTTAACCAGTTAAACATTTGTATGATGTTTTGAAAAGAAGGATTAGGGAATATAAACCTTATCCAAAAAATATTATGGAATTAATAGTAGTTTTGAAGGAGAAGTGGAATAAAATTGAGCCTGAAATTTTAATAAATTTAGTTGAAAGTTTGCCAAGGAGGGTTCAAGCAGTATTAGATAGCCATGAAAATCCAATAGATATTAATAAAATCCATGTTTTTCTGAATAACATGATATAAATTTTTTATAACGATAATGTTTGTTTATAAATTGTTAAGAAATTAATTGTATATACTAATGATTATCATTATTTTAATAATTTGACTTTAAAACTTCTTGAAATTTTTAAATTCAATCATATATGAAATGCGCATAATAGGAAAAAAGTTTTTTTTTATTGATCTCTTAAGTAAAAATCTTCAGAATATTAACGTTAATGTGCGAATCAGATTTAAAACAGATTCTATCTTTTTCTAGTAAATATCAGTTATTGAACGTCCAGAATGCGAGTTTATCATTTTTTAATTGAACAATATACTTATATGCCAAAGAGAGGGGGACACAAGTTAGTTTTGCTCATCACGCATACTACACTTCCAAAGTTCATTGACAGTTGTTCATCAATCAGCAAGTGGGTTTTTGTCCATTTTGTAGCGAGAAAGTGCACAATCTAATAACGATATGGTTAATTTAAGTGTTTGTTTATCTGCCAACCAACAATCCGAATGCTTTAATATTTTATATCTTGCGATTTTATTGGTTTAACCCTTAAAAAATCACATGCCGATACTTAACGATTTGTATTAAATTTTGCAAGTATGGATGAATATGTTATTGAATTGTATCTTTATTTACATCTTTTTTTTTTTTACAAAAGTAAATAATAAAATTTTGTCAGTAGATTATATTCTTGAATGTAAATTTTCCATATGTTTTTTTTAATCATATTGCTATTCTTGAGAATCGAATGCTCTTTTGTTAGAAAGCTACTTAGCGATCACACAGCGTTTTGCGTGACTTCAAACAGCGCTGCGTTTCACTTGAGATTTATAGTCTTCTAATTTTTGGGGTCACAATTTCGAGCTTTAACAAGCCAGGCTAATTATTTCTTTATTATTCTTTAACAAGTCATCTATAACGATAACAATACATGCTTTTGTCTTCAAGAAGTAAATATTAATATGATAGATAGTGCCTATCGCAATAGAAATTATGGGATCCTATATATTCATTTTTATTTTCCCAAAAATGGAAAAAAGCTGTGCGCAAAATGTCGTGTGTAGGTCGTGTGTTGTAATACTACGTTGATCTCGATCAGTGCTCTTTTTGTGCAGGGAGGTACATTATGAAGAAAATTCGTAAATTCGAAACTTCGGTTAAACAAAAATATTCGAGCATTCATGCTGTAAAATTTGATATTTGTTCTAATTTGAGATAGGGTAAATTATTTGGGATGCATCCCAAATGTGTAGACAGAATAACTATAGCGATAGTGAATAAATGTAATAACTACATTCATATTTTATGATAAAGCAGAACCCGTAAGTGCTTCTTTTAATAGTATTATCTTTTAGCGTTAGGAGTAAAGTTTAAATTTAGATAATTTACAATGATCGATATCGGGTAATTTCATTTCGCGTTTAATACTTGTACCGTTTATTTTTTTCAATTGACTTTATTTTTATTGTCACTACCATTTCTTATCCAAATGATGGTTATATCATTCTAACTTAATAAGACTCGGACGAAATAAAATTGAGTATTCTTTAGAGATGCTCTTTCACTGTTAAGAACCTTTTATCGTTAATAATATATTCGGTTTAATGAAAATATTGATGCATATCATGTATGTACGTTATATTGAAAGGTGGTTTTCTCATCGAATGTATTGGTCTCTATCGCACAGAAATAAAATTTGTTGTTTTTATTTATAGTTACTCTTAATTATGATTTCTAATTTAATCTCGCACATATTTGCCTGTTTAATATCCACTTTCTTCAACTTCTTTTTCCTTCTCTCCCCTCCTTCACTCCAACTCGACCACCTTTTTTTTCCATTTAAAACGCTCATTTACCCACGCGCACTTTCACGCATTTCACATTCTTTTTAACACAGAAAAAAATCACGCCTATCAAATTCTCACGAACACTAGAACAAAAAAGATAATACATTATTTATATTTTTTACAAAAATAAAAATAACCGCTTGGATCATTTCCAACTCATATAAATTATCTTTTTGAGCGTGTGAACATATGATAAATCGATTGCCGTACTTTTCGGTCATTTTTTCACGTTATTCTTCTTAATCAATCGATCAACAATAATTCATTAGAATTTCAAAAATAACTTCGCATCAGTTGTATAAATTAAACCAATTTCCCCTAAAATACACTCCTTCTAAACAGCCGGACTAGTTTAACCCAATTCTCCCAAAATACACTGCAATACAGTCAGTGTTTCTACTCTCTCTCTCTCTCTCTCTCTATCCACATCATCCCCACATCCACATTAATTTATAAATTAACGATTCAATTAACGATTTTACGTTTAGACAAACCCCCCTTTTAGAAATCATCAAAATTATCAAATTACATTATGCCACCTCATCTAAAAAACACTGATCGGGAATATCACCTTCCCGAACCAAGTAAATTTCAAACGGATAAACTTTCTTTCTTAAAAGAATTTTCATCGCAATATGGTTACGGAGGGAGAATTGAGCAAATACGAGAGAAGGAGTATCCGCAATTAAAAGGTAAGAATCACTTATTGATTGAAAAATCCACTAAAATGAACCCGGTCTTACTCTAAGCCTATTCACATATAAGGTGAAGTATATCTTGATCATGCTGGCACAACTACGTATCCACAAAGCACTCTTACAGAGTTTCACGCAGATTTATCAAGAAACTTGTACGGAAACCCACACTCAAAATCTCCAAGTTCACAACTAGCAACCGATCGTGTGAATCAAGTACGAAATCGCGTTTTAAAACACTTTAATGCGAGCCCTGAACATTACGAGGTAATATTTACAGCGAATACAACTGCCGCAATCAAATTAGTCGGCGAGATATTCCCTTGGGCAGCGGGTGAAACTTCTTATAAATATCTTCGTGAAGGGCACACAAGTCTTTTGGGTTTACGCCGTTTCGCGGAAGAGGCTGATGTCCATGAATTGACGGGAATAACGGAGAACGAAGTGGAAGAGGATTTGAGAACATTTAATAATTATCGTACTTCATCGAATCCACATTTCCTTAATAATATTCCACAAGTTGATTTTGAGGGTCATACTGATGGTGTACCAATTATCAACAATGGAGTCACCTATAATTTATTTGCGTATCCGGCGCAATGTAATTTCTCTGGAATGCGCTTTCCACTTGATTGGTCTCGAAAGATAAAGCAAACATTTAACACTGCCAATAAAAAAACCTTAGTGCTATTGGATGCTGCTGCTTACACAACCTCTTCGCCATTATCGTTAGCAGAACCAGAAAATTCACCTGATTTTGTTACCATTAGTTTTTACAAGCTATTTGGATATCCTACTGGTCTTGGCGCATTGATTCTTAAAAAGGAATTGAATCCAATTCTGAAAAAAAGATATTTTGGAGGTGGTACAGGTGAGCGCAGGCACGTTTTATCGCCTTTTTATATAATTATATCATATCAAACCTGATTAATCAACCTTTCTTTTAAATAATGTAGTCACATCAGTAGTATGGGATATGAACTGGCAGATGTTTCATGATAGGTTATGTGAACGATATGAAGACGGCACAATCAATTTCCTAAATATCATTTCACTTGGTCACGCTTTCGACGTTACAGATCGTCTATATGGAGATTTTAAAAATATTCGAGCTCACGTAACTGCATTAAACAGTTATCTATATCGGGCTATGTCACAACTCAAACATTGGAATGGAGCGCCCTTATGTTTCATCAATTCAGATCGGGATTTTTCCGATAGTTCAAGACAAGGTCCAATTTTGAGTTTTAATTTGAAACATGCGGATGGTACTTGGATAGGCTATCGTGAAATTGAACGACTGGCTGGCCAAAATGGAATACATGTTCGTGCTGGTGGTCACTGTAATCCTGGATCGGTAGCCCGATGGATGGGAGTTAAACCCGAGGAGTTTGTAAGTTTTGTTTATTGGAACAAAGATAATCTGAAAAAGAACAACCTGAAATTTATTGACAAACGTAATATTATGACTATAGGCAGGCAAAAGTTGTAGCGACGATCAAGATGTTGTTAACGGCAAACCAATTGGTTCTGCTCGAGTATCTTTGGGTGCAATGACAACCATTGATGATATTCTCGTGTGGCTTGACTTCCTTAAAGCATATTTCCTTGAAGGAGAACCAACAGTGTCCAAGTATAAAACTAAGGATGGCATTTATGGTGACCTTAAAAATCAAGCTACATTAAAAAATACAATTCCGGAAACTAAAATCTCGCTTGAAACAATTACCATATGTAAGTTCATGCACGTTATTAATTATTTTTAGATATTGATAATTCGCTGTAAATATAACGCATTCTTATTAATTTGTTGAATAGACCCGATAAAATCATGTCATGGTTATACTGTACCATCCTCAAAATCATGGCCTATCACACCTCAAGGTCTTTTATATGATCGTGAATGGATGGTAGTAAACGCAGAAACAGGAGAAGCACTAAATCAGAAAAGATTCCCTCGTATGGCATTAATACGACCTCGAATTCTAATCGATGAAGGTGTACTTTTACTCAAAGCCCCCGGTCAAGCACCATTAAGAATTTCATTAGATGAATATCCAATCCTTGGTGCATGTACAAATACATCACCTTCATCGTTGATGTCAGCGACAAATGAATCGAAAGTGTGTGGTGATAAGGTTGACACGCTATATTACACTGCACCAAATATCAATGAATGGTTTTCAAATTTCCTTGGATTAACTTGTGTTCTAGCACGACAACCACCATTTGATAATGATGACGATATTAATAATAGTATAAAAATCCGAAGGCGATTCATAAAACCACATCTTGAAAAATCGGCAGACGCGCCGATTTCATTAACAAATGAGTCACCATTCTTGTTAATATCTCAGTCCAGTGTCGATGACCTAAACCAAAAAATTCGAAGATCGGGACATAAGGAAATCGACGCGTCTTGCTTTAGGGGTAATTTCCTAGTTAAAGGAACATTTGGGTATGAGGAGGATGATTGGTCAATGGTTAGATTTGGCAATCAAGTTTTCAAGGTATTTATTTTTAATGGAGGACTAGTGTCCATTCATTTTTTAGTTTTTCGTATTTTTTTAAATAATTTGTTTGTTTTTATCATAGATACCCGGACCTTGCAGGCGATGTCATATGGTAACTGTTAATCAGACAACAGCAGAGAAAACAAGCGAACCTTACCGTACTTTATCAAAACATCGAAAATTTGACGTGAGTTATTAATTTTTTGTTATCCAATAATTCTAGTAGTGATAATGACGAACATTCAAATCTTATAGGGTAAAATATATTTTGGTGAACACATGATTCACGTTCCGGAATTATCCGAGGCACCATACGTAGTTAAACCCGGCAGTCCGATAGAAGTATTGGACAGAAATATATCTTCAATGATCTTATCAAGGTTCTAAAATAACCTTTTGTGACAACTTCTTTATTTATTTTTTTGTTGTTTTTATTTATAGTTACTCTTAATTATGATTTCTAATTTAATCTCGCACATATTTGCCTGTTTAATATCCACTTTCTTCAACTTCTTTTTCCTTCTCTCCCCTCCTTCACTCCAACTCGACCACCTTTTTTTTCCATTTAAAACGCTCATTTACCCACGCGCACTTTCACGCATTTCACATTCTTTTTAACACAGAAAAAAATCACGCCTATCAAATTCTCACGAACACTAGAACAAAAAAGATAATACATTATTTATATTTTTTACAAAAATAAAAATAACCGCTTGGATCATTTCCAACTCATATAAATTATCTTTTTGAGCGTGTGAACATATGATAAATCGATTGCCGTACTTTTCGGTCATTTTTTCACGTTATTCTTCTTAATCAATCGATCAACAATAATTCATTAGAATTTCAAAAATAACTTCGCATCAGTTGTATAAATTAAACCAATTTCCCCTAAAATACACTCCTTCTAAACAGCCGGACTAGTTTAACCCAATTCTCCCAAAATACACTGCAATACAGTCAGTGTTTCTACTCTCTCTCTCTCTCTCTCTCTATCCACATCATCCCCACATCCACATTAATTTATAAATTAACGATTCAATTAACGATTTTACGTTTAGACAAACCCCCCTTTTAGAAATCATCAAAATTATCAAATTACATTATGCCACCTCATCTAAAAAACACTGATCGGGAATATCACCTTCCCGAACCAAGTAAATTTCAAACGGATAAACTTTCTTTCTTAAAAGAATTTTCATCGCAATATGGTTACGGAGGGAGAATTGAGCAAATACGAGAGAAGGAGTATCCGCAATTAAAAGGTAAGAATCACTTATTGATTGAAAAATCCACTAAAATGAACCCGGTCTTACTCTAAGCCTATTCACATATAAGGTGAAGTATATCTTGATCATGCTGGCACAACTACGTATCCACAAAGCACTCTTACAGAGTTTCACGCAGATTTATCAAGAAACTTGTACGGAAACCCACACTCAAAATCTCCAAGTTCACAACTAGCAACCGATCGTGTGAATCAAGTACGAAATCGCGTTTTAAAACACTTTAATGCGAGCCCTGAACATTACGAGGTAATATTTACAGCGAATACAACTGCCGCAATCAAATTAGTCGGCGAGATATTCCCTTGGGCAGCGGGTGAAACTTCTTATAAATATCTTCGTGAAGGGCACACAAGTCTTTTGGGTTTACGCCGTTTCGCGGAAGAGGCTGATGTCCATGAATTGACGGGAATAACGGAGAACGAAGTGGAAGAGGATTTGAGAACATTTAATAATTATCGTACTTCATCGAATCCACATTTCCTTAATAATATTCCACAAGTTGATTTTGAGGGTCATACTGATGGTGTACCAATTATCAACAATGGAGTCACCTATAATTTATTTGCGTATCCGGCGCAATGTAATTTCTCTGGAATGCGCTTTCCACTTGATTGGTCTCGAAAGATAAAGCAAACATTTAACACTGCCAATAAAAAAACCTTAGTGCTATTGGATGCTGCTGCTTACACAACCTCTTCGCCATTATCGTTAGCAGAACCAGAAAATTCACCTGATTTTGTTACCATTAGTTTTTACAAGCTATTTGGATATCCTACTGGTCTTGGCGCATTGATTCTTAAAAAGGAATTGAATCCAATTCTGAAAAAAAGATATTTTGGAGGTGGTACAGGTGAGCGCAGGCACGTTTTATCGCCTTTTTATATAATTATATCATATCAAACCTGATTAATCAACCTTTCTTTTAAATAATGTAGTCACATCAGTAGTATGGGATATGAACTGGCAGATGTTTCATGATAGGTTATGTGAACGATATGAAGACGGCACAATCAATTTCCTAAATATCATTTCACTTGGTCACGCTTTCGACGTTACAGATCGTCTATATGGAGATTTTAAAAATATTCGAGCTCACGTAACTGCATTAAACAGTTATCTATATCGGGCTATGTCACAACTCAAACATTGGAATGGAGCGCCCTTATGTTTCATCAATTCAGATCGGGATTTTTCCGATAGTTCAAGACAAGGTCCAATTTTGAGTTTTAATTTGAAACATGCGGATGGTACTTGGATAGGCTATCGTGAAATTGAACGACTGGCTGGCCAAAATGGAATACATGTTCGTGCTGGTGGTCACTGTAATCCTGGATCGGTAGCCCGATGGATGGGAGTTAAACCCGAGGAGTTTGTAAGTTTTGTTTATTGGAACAAAGATAATCTGAAAAAGAACAACCTGAAATTTATTGACAAACGTAATATTATGACTATAGGCAGGCAAAAGTTGTAGCGACGATCAAGATGTTGTTAACGGCAAACCAATTGGTTCTGCTCGAGTATCTTTGGGTGCAATGACAACCATTGATGATATTCTCGTGTGGCTTGACTTCCTTAAAGCATATTTCCTTGAAGGAGAACCAACAGTGTCCAAGTATAAAACTAAGGATGGCATTTATGGTGACCTTAAAAATCAAGCTACATTAAAAAATACAATTCCGGAAACTAAAATCTCGCTTGAAACAATTACCATATGTAAGTTCATGCACGTTATTAATTATTTTTAGATATTGATAATTCGCTGTAAATATAACGCATTCTTATTAATTTGTTGAATAGACCCGATAAAATCATGTCATGGTTATACTGTACCATCCTCAAAATCATGGCCTATCACACCTCAAGGTCTTTTATATGATCGTGAATGGATGGTAGTAAACGCAGAAACAGGAGAAGCACTAAATCAGAAAAGATTCCCTCGTATGGCATTAATACGACCTCGAATTCTAATCGATGAAGGTGTACTTTTACTCAAAGCCCCCGGTCAAGCACCATTAAGAATTTCATTAGATGAATATCCAATCCTTGGTGCATGTACAAATACATCACCTTCATCGTTGATGTCAGCGACAAATGAATCGAAAGTGTGTGGTGATAAGGTTGACACGCTATATTACACTGCACCAAATATCAATGAATGGTTTTCAAATTTCCTTGGATTAACTTGTGTTCTAGCACGACAACCACCATTTGATAATGATGACGATATTAATAATAGTATAAAAATCCGAAGGCGATTCATAAAACCACATCTTGAAAAATCGGCAGACGCGCCGATTTCATTAACAAATGAGTCACCATTCTTGTTAATATCTCAGTCCAGTGTCGATGACCTAAACCAAAAAATTCGAAGATCGGGACATAAGGAAATCGACGCGTCTTGCTTTAGGGGTAATTTCCTAGTTAAAGGAACATTTGGGTATGAGGAGGATGATTGGTCAATGGTTAGATTTGGCAATCAAGTTTTCAAGGTATTTATTTTTAATGGAGGACTAGTGTCCATTCATTTTTTAGTTTTTCGTATTTTTTTAAATAATTTGTTTGTTTTTATCATAGATACCCGGACCTTGCAGGCGATGTCATATGGTAACTGTTAATCAGACAACAGCAGAGAAAACAAGCGAACCTTACCATACATATCTTTTGTTCCTTTTATCGATATATATATAGATAAAATTGTATGCCGGTGCGATCTCCGTTAATCTTTTCTCTATCCGGACTTAATTACAATGGATGCCAAGAAACTGGATAAGCGAGACAATCTATATGTATGTGTATGTATGTAATTTTATGTGCTAACTAAGGGCATTGGGAGAAAATTCTTTAACGATAAATGAATATATTGTTAGGTTCCTGCTAATTAACTTGGCACAGCAGTAATGGATGTTGGCACATTACTATTATAATTATTCCTATTTTATTTTTTTTCTTTGGCATTGGGTATTGGTAGATAATGGGGTTTATGGTAGGCAAACATATATATGGTTATTATTTTACTTTTAATCAAAATTATTATCTGTACATCTATTAAATTAATGCACATAGTGAAACTCGATATTAGAGAAAACTTTCAATTCTGTTATTTTTATTAATGAATTTATTAGATTGGTGGGATTTACGTATATAAGCTGTTTATTGAAATTTAGTTAATTTTTACTTTATTCAAATATTCTCTATATTGAGTTTTGTTATGTAAAAAATTATAGATGTTATATCAAGTATATTATATTTTTCTATCAAAATTATTATGTATATATTTTAGATATTTTGCAAATATTATTATATTATTATATTATTATAAATATATTCAAATTATTTAACTTGCTCTATGATTTATATATCCAATTATTTGATGAAATTTGATTTTTTTTAATTTGAATTATCTCATAAATTATTTTTTAATAAATTTTAATCTTTGATATATTATTATATTTATAATTCTGTTATCAGATCTAATAATAATTTGTAGTTGATTTATATTATATTTTTTTAAATTTTATATAATTATTATATTATTTAATATTATATATATTATAATAACTAATAGAATTATATATAAGATTGAATTTATAAATAAATTTTTTTTATATTAAAATTTATAAGAAATAATTTTTATTTTTATATTAAAATAAAGTTTTTTTCAGAAATTATTTTAATTACAAAAATATTTAAATTATATTCAAATAATTAAAATTAGAATTAGAATTTTTATATATTATATTTATAATATATAAAAAAACTGAAAATTTTAATTTTAGTTATATTTAATAAATATTTATTTAATTCAGCCTAGTGAGAAAGTTTATTTAAAAGTATTTAATAGCTTATCTTAATAAAATTTTTTATAATTAATATTTTTTTATTAAATATTTTTTTGAAAAAATTAATTATAAAAAATTTAAAATACTTTTTTAATCTTTTTTTATTTATTATTTAATGAATAATTATTAAATTATATAAAATTTTAAATATATATACTTGATAATTTAGTAAACAAGTATACTTAAAATTAATTTGTAAAATAATAATCAAATTTATTTATAATAATTTATTTAAGATTTTTTATTATTAAAAATTTTTAATTTTAAGAATATAAATTATAAAAAATTTTAATAAAATAAGTATTTAAGTAGTCTTAAATAAAGTTATTTATCATATTTTCAAGTATATATATTTAAATTTTTATATTATTTAAATAAATATTTATGAAAAAAATTAAACTTCCAGTTTTTTTATATATTACATATTAAATTATAATAATAAAAAATTTAATAAGCTAATTATTAAAAAATTTTAAATTTTATTATTTATAATAATTTATAAAAAAATAAAATACTAATTTTTATTTTTAAAAAATTAAATATTTATTCAAATTAAATAATTAATATATTATTTAAAGTTTAAAATTTTTAATATTTTTTAAAAATAAATTAGTTTAAATTAATTTAAAATAAAAATTTATTTTAATTTATTAATAAAAAAATATTTCTTTTTATAAATTTATAAATTTTTAGCTTAATTAAATTATTTATTATTTAAAATATTTAATTTTAAAAATAAATTTTATTTTTTAAAAATTTAATTTAAAATTAATTTATTAAAATATTTAATTATATTAAATTATTAAAATAATTTAATTATTTTTAAAAAATACTAGATTTTAAATTTATATATTAATTATTTTATTTAAATATAGTAATAATAAAAAAATTATTATTTTTTATAATATATAAAATTTTTTATAAATTATATAAAATTTATATATAAAATTTTTAAAATATATATTTAAAAAATATTAAAAAATTTAAATAATATTATTAATTAACTTAAAAATATAAAATTTTTATTATAAAATAAATAATTTATAAAATTATTTAACTCAAATTTTATAAATTATTAAGCTTATATTTTTATTAATAAAAAATTTAAAAATTATTAAATTTATATAAATTTATATAAATTTTATAATAATATTTTTTATATTTTTATAAATAATTTACTTAAAAATATTTAATAAAAAAATAAATTTTTTTAGAAAAAAAGAAATTTTATATATATTTTTAAATTATTTTTAAAAATTTAATTTTATATATTATATAAATCCTATTAAATTTTATTTTAAATTATATAAATTTTTTATAATATTTATATTATAATAATAATTATTTAAAATTTTTTAACTTATTATTATGTATAATTTTTTTATTATAATAATTGTTTATAAAAACTTTATTTTTATTTTAATATAATTTTTTTAATATTTATTTAAATTTAATAATATTATAAGATATTTTAAAAAATAATAAATAAGTTTAATTTTTATATTTATTTTTATATATATTTAAATTTTATTTTTTAATTAAATTTAAATTATTATATAGTAACAATTAAAAATAATATAATACTTAAATTTTTTGTTAATTATAATTAATAAAATATATAATTTTTCTTACATATAAAAGTTTTTAAATTTACTAACAAATATTTTTTATTTTTAACTCAAAAAATAGTTTAAGTTCTTTAATTTAATATATATTTTTTTAGAATTTTTGGATTTTTTATTGATAACTTATTCTAATTACATATAATAATGATCAAAAGTAATGACTCAGAAGCTAAATTTACTAATAAAATATAGTGAAAATTTTAATTTTCTCTCTATATTAAAATTTATAATTTTAATAAGAAATAATTTTTA